CTCCTTCCTGTTCTACTCCCCTCGCGGTGCTGCACAGAGAACGCACCTGCACCAGCAACGGACACAATTTTCTACACGCTGGGTCCTAGTGGTGCCCCCCACAGTCTGGCACCTGAGGCGGCCGCCTCAGTTCTCCTCATGGTAAGGCCGGCCCCGCCCCGCCCCGCCCCTCCCCGCATGCAGTTGAGCCAACCTGTGCAGACAGTACTAGCTCAATGGAAGAGTTTTCCATCAGCCTAGCAGCTGCCTCTTCCGCTGGGTCTACACTGGAGGGGAAGGTCGACCTAAGACATGCAACTCCTGCTATGTTAATGGTGTAGTTGGAGTCAACGTATCTTAAATCCCTGTCTCCATAGCAGGAGGTTGAGTCGGTGTGGGCTAGGGGCCAGCAGCCCTGCCCTGCCCTGCCCCGCGGTGGTTTCCAGCCCCTGCCCCCCCGTGGGAGCTGCTCCTGGGTAACTATTAACCGTTGCCGGGTGAGCATCACCCGTTAAAGGCGATGCTTATGGGGAATTGGTTAACCAGCTGCCCAGTCACATCTCAAATCTGCCTGTAGAGTCAAAGGTCTCAGAAGACCTGGTTTAATGGAGGGAGACGTTTTCATGGCTGTGAATTTGGTAGGGGCTGAGCTTCCCAGGTTGGACGAGGAGACCCCAAGGCTCCCATCTGGCCTGGGAATCTAGGAGTTTACGGTCAGCTCTGCATGACGACTGCTGGAGGGCGACTGGCGCCTCTCACGCTGACTTTGGACCTAGAGCCAGAGGCACCGTGGCGTGGGGAGGGTTAGCGTGAGGCATACACACCGAGGGCCTGGCTGGCATTCAGCACCCCGGAGCCCCCAGGACACCGCTTGAAGTCAAGCGCCTTGGCACCTTCTAAAAACTAGCTCAGGGGATCTCAGGCTAGAGGCACCAAAAAGCCAGCCCCCCTCCCTCCCGCCACTGCTGAAAGCCATGGCTGCGCTGCTGTCGTGTGCTATCCGTGCGCCTGCACTGCTGCCTAGTGGAGGGATGGGGACACTGCTGGGAGGACTGGCCCCAGCTAGAGGGACGGGTCGCGGAGCACCTGTCCTTCCCCAGTCCCAAGGGGCAGTGGGAAATTCTTGACACAGCATGTGCTGAAGACGGGGAGTGCGGGGCCCACTGAGGAAACACGTCAGGGATCGGTGGGCAGAGCAGCTGCAGAGCAAGCCGTTTCAGTGACTAACAGGGTTACCGAAATACGCCTCCTCCTTCCTGAAATCCCCGCTGGAGGGCAGGGAGCGGAGGGGAACCGAGCGTCCCGTCTCCCCACGGCGATACCCGCCAGGAATGTGAGGGCTGCTGCGTCTACACGTCTACACTACACGCTTCCAAACAAGCTCTGGGCTGATCCTCAGCAGCGCATGTAAATCAGCGTGGCTCCGCCCAAGGAACAGGGGCTCCCTCGATGGATCCCGCCTGGAGTTGGTTTGGAAGAGTGTTATAGACCATGGGATGGCCTATGTCAGCTGGAGTCACAAAGACAGCGGCTGAACCTCAGCAACATGCAGCCCCGGGCCTTACCCACATCCACTCTCTGCCGCATCCTTGGTCTGTTCTAGGGATGGAAGAGGGTGCTTGTCAGTTACCCAAATGGTAGCACGAGGCTCCCAGTCCTGCTCCTGGCGCACACCGGCCCCCGGGGAGCTGGCTGCCCCCTGCGCTGCGGGTGCATGGAACTGTCTGACTGCTGATATTTTCAGCAGACACGGTGAACCAATTACCTGCATTTTAACATCCCTAGTCTGTTACATTGTCTAGCCTGGTCCCACAAGAGTCTGAACTCCTCACTTCCTCGCAACTTCTGGGGGGTGCAGGCATGCACTGATATTTTCAGCAGACACGGTGAACCCCCCAGTGCTATAGGGATAACAGTAGCTAGCAGTGAGAATAGCCTGGCCTGCTAGCCAGCCTCCGGCCGTAGCCAGCATCGAATGCTTCGGCAGGAAGCAGAACCTAGCCTAAGACACACGGTCCTGGACTGGCCTAGTACGCAGGAGAGCTGGGTTCAGGCCCATCCTAGCTCTGCCACAGACCCTCTGTGTGACCTTGGGCAGCTCACAGTCTTTCTGGCCCAGATTCCCAGCGGAATTTAGGCTCAGTGGATATTGGGAGCTTAAATATCTTTTGTGGGACAAGCCTCAGTTTCTCAGGTGTGAAATGGAGATTAGAACCCTCCCTCTCTCCAGCCCTTTGTCTAATGAGATCGCAAACTCTCGGGGAAGGACTGTCTCTTACTGGCATCTGTACAGGGCCCAGCACAACGGCGCTCTGCTCTCAGACTGGCCTCCTCTAGGTGCTACCGTAATACAACACTTGTCATAGCAGAGGTATTCTCGGCTCTACGTCATGCAGGGGCCCTGAGGTGCAAAGAGGGGAAGTGACATGCTGGAGGACACGAAAAGAGCCCAGGTCTCCTGAATCCCAGCCAGGACCTCGATCCTCTCCACATCTGGGAGATAAGGAGGAGCCATTTCTTCCTGGGCCCTGCTAGCAACCAGCTTGCACCATGAAGCAGGAAGACTGAGGAACACTCGCACCTTTGCTTCCGCGCACGTGTCGCGGCCAATGCCATCCTTTCTACGCGTCCGATTCTTTCTGGATTCTTAGGAAGCGACTTTTCTCAACATACAGCAGCAGATTCCTCTCTCTTCCTTCAGATCTCCCGATTAGTAAGCAAGTAGCACCCGTTTGCTATGGGATCCTGATCGCTATCGGAACTCATTCATGCAGCGGTTTTAACTCCTCATGCCTGGCACTTGCTTCTTCCCCGATCTCGGGTGGGTGGTGTCACACTGCCAGGAGCAGCCCTTTGCACACTGTAATGTCTGCCCCTCTAGCCCCCAAATGAAATTAACAGGAAGCAGGTTTAAAACAAACCAAAGGAAGTTTTTCTTCACTCAGCGCACAGTCAACCTGTGGAACTCCTCGCCAGAGGATGTGGTGAAGACTGGGCCTTTAACAGGGTTCAAAAAAGAGCTAGCAAGATTCATGGAGGTTAGGTCCATCAGTGGCTATTAGCCAGGCTGGGTAGGGATGGTGTCCCTAGCCTCTGTTTGTCTGGAAATGGGTGACAGGGGAGGGATCACGTGATGATTCCGTTCTGTTCAGTCCCTCTGGGGCACCTGGCATTGGCCACTGTGGGCAGGCAGGACACTGGGCTGGATGGACCTTTGATCTGACCCGGTCTGACCATTCTTGTGTTCTTATTTTTTTCTTGCATTTTGTAAACCACTCACCAGAAGCAAATGACAGCATGTGGAAAGAATGTGAAATAAGCAATACAGCCTTAAAAAACCACATAAGCTGCATTCATCTCTGGTCTCACCCCACCAAAGCATGACCCCGTGGATGAGATCTATTCTCCGCCTCGCTCAGAAGAAACGTTCTTCCTGGGGGCGAATTCCCTCATTAAAAAACAAGAAGCAAAGGGGCCAGTCTGATGACAACTGATCTTTCTGGGCGTCAGGCAGGCACACAGATACTTTTGTACACCCTCTCCCTGCCCGAGTGCAGGGCATAAAAAACCTTTCAATAGCTGCCCTATGTCACCGAGGTGTTTACAAAAACGTTATCTGTATTTGAACGTGGTTGGCTGTCAGCAACACGGTACTAGGCAACTTACACCAGGCCAGGCTGGGTCAAACCAAAGGTCCATCTAGCCCAGTGTCCTGTCTGCCAACAGCGGCCAATGCCAGGTGCCCCAGAGGGAGGGAACAGAACAGGGAACCATGAAGTGATCTCTCCCTGATGCCCATTTCCAGCTCCTGGCAAACAGAGGGTAGGGACACCCTGCAAACACTCTCTTTCCTGAGCTTGACTTCACCAGCACCCAAACTCATGAGATACTGTGTTCACTTAGGCACCAGATCCATGGGCGGGGGGTGAAGGCCCAGCTGGGGAAGACAAACCAAGGCCCCGCCCCTTCTGCCCGAAGCCACACCCTTCCCTCCAAGACCACGCCCTTTCAACAACCTACCCCTCCGCTAAGCTCCGCCCAAATCCAGCCCTCAAGCCTGATTCTTCCTGGCCACCTGGTGCACCAGAGTTGTCATGCCGTGGTCCTGGCCTTCCAACACGGCTGGGCAGCATAGGCAGTTTTGGGAAGGCAATGCCTTCTCTGGCCTCCATTACCCGCGGCCCATGGCCAGTTCATCAAAGCACTTAAGGCCTTGCATGAGTCCTACTGACTTCAGGGCTTAACTTGAAGCACACGCCCCAGTGCTTTGCTCAACCCAGGCGTCAACTAGCCTCCGAATGAACAGGCCGCTCTTCGGCTAGCTCAGGGGCAGTGGAAAGGGCTAGTGTTTCACAGAACCCCAAGAAATCTGTTTAGAACGTTTTGTTTATATTTCAGTCCCTCTCGTTGTTACTGAAATGCGCCGCCGAGCATTGTGAACTCACAGGCGCTCCCACCTGGCTACAGCAGGAGAAGTGGGATGTATAGGTGTCTGTACCTGACTAGGAATCCATCCAGGGGCTGGTTTAGAAGGGGGTGGGCGTGTGAGACAGTGCCTAGGAACAGAGCATTGAACTGAACTGTATGCTTAGTTACTCTGCTGAGCGCCGGGGGAGTTACTGGGGAAGGTCTTTCACCTCCCCATGCTCCACTTTCGCTCTCTGTACAAGGGGGAAGAACGACCCTGACCGCCTTCGGATGGTGCTTAGAGATCAATGGTTGAAAAGTGCGAGGTAAGAGCTCAAGCTGTCCAAGCGATTGCATGAAGTTGCTCCCAAGGTGTTCCAAGCATTCCGGAAGGGGCGACTCATCTCCTGCGCTAAAGATCTCGCAATCTAAGAACTGACAGACCAGGGATAGCGGGAATGGAAACCACACTAGGCCATTTATATCCATGTCAGCAAGCACGGCTGAAATGTGCTTCCCTGTGAATGAAGCAGGGCCTCGTGAGCGACACCAGGGAGGCCATAGCATGCATGGGGGGCTCTATGGAGAAATATTTAAAAAATCATAAAACTAACCTGACACTTGTTGCCTTCCTACGGATCACTTCACTTCTCCGCTCAGTCTCTTTCCCCCACCCGGTGTCTGCTTTGTATAGTGAGGAGTATTCATTATTTGTATTATCAACGTACGCAGGAGCCTTGACCGTTGACTGGGACCTCTTGTGCTTGGCCTAGACAAACACAGAACAAAAATAAATGTCGATTGTACATGCTCTGAGGCAGGGACTAGCTATTTATTCTTCTGTCTTTTCTCAGCACCTAATCCATTGGGGTCCTGATCAATGTTCCCTCTAATTTTCCCATCCAAGTGTGGAATAAATGTGGTATGTGCACCGAGGCATGTACAGAGGTGCACCACTAGTAGAAACACATGTTGCCGGCTGTGGGCACCCTGTTAACTAGCTGAGCAGCATTTAAATCCTGCCCAAGCACTCAGTTCACAGAGAACACTGGTCCTGATCTTGGTTGATCTCTCAGCACAACACACCATAATAAACATGGTTAACGATAAGGTAAGTTGGAGACCGCATTAGGGAGGTTAAATTTAGATGAACTGGCTAATTGAATAGCAATTTGCATGGACTATTCGATTAGGGTGCCTCCGCCCTTGAAGTGTAGCAACAGCCCGATGGCTGTTGCTACACTTCAAAGGCAAAAGCGCTGCAGAAAGCACAGGGCCAGCGGGGGACTCAGGCAGCCCCTTGCCGGCCCCGTGCTCCTTGCAGTGTTTCAAAGCAGCAGAGCCCCAGGCTCCTTGCGGCGCTGCCACTTTGAAGCACCCTCTCCTCTCCCCGCCCCTTGCTGCCTCTTTCTGATGGAGGCAGCAAGGGGCGGGGGGAGGCGACTAGTCGACTAGCGTGTCGACTGTCCGATGAGCATTTGCTTTTTGGCTAGATAACTACTCCTTCACATCCCAGGGTTGTATGGGAGCTTGACAAACGGGTGAGGAGGCCGGGAACGGAAACAAACAGCAGCCAGCATGAAGAGTAAACGTGTTTCTTTCAAATGTCTGGGAACACACGCTCAAGCGTTATTCATTTGTTTTGACAGAATCTCTTTCCCCTCCAGTGACAGCAGGCAGGCGGGGAGTGCAAAAGGGACAGCTGCCCTGGGGCCTGGTGAGTCAAAGGGAGCCAGGACTCCTGGCCACTGCTAATGCAGAAGCGGCAGCGCCTGTACCCTGGGCCCTTTCAATTGCCACCAGAGCTTACAATGAAAGGTCTTTACAAAATACAGGTGGGACCTTCCCGCTCCAGCATGGCCAGGACCTGACAGGTCCAAATGAGGGAGTTTACTGGATCCAGGATACCAATTCCAGCCTCCCTGCCTGGCTCCATTCCCAGCTCCAGCTGCCAGCTCCCTAGCCGCCCCCTCCCCTTCTCTTGCTGCCAGCCCCCCCGACTGCTGCTGGTCCCGCTCTGGCTGCCAGCCACGCCTGCCACTGGCCCCAGTTGGATTGCTGGTGGCCAGCCCCACTTGGGCCCCCAAACCCCAACTACCACCAACCCTGGCTGGGCTCCTGGCCACCAGCCCTCCTGTTGCCCAACCAGACCTGAGTCCCAGTTTTTACAGGTTCAACCTGTAGTGACACTCTCAGCAGCCATCCTGCTCCCGGCCCATCATCGCATTGCAACAATGATGCTGAGGACTCTTCAGATCACCCAATTTCTGCAGCTGGCAGCTTTAAGAACCTCCCTGCCCCCAGAAGTGAGAGTCACGGCAAAAATCTTCCCAGTTGGCAACACCTCTGTGCTGCCCCATGACCCTCAAACTTCCTAACCAAACTAGCCCTCCCACCAGAGATAACACCGGAGCTGTCCCACCCATTGGATAGTGCAGGGCGGTTGCTCTGGGCCCCACGCTTTGGCGGCCCCCGTGCTTCTGGCAGACTTCCACCAGCTCCTGATGTGGCTCAGGAGAGGAGGGGTTGGGATGTTGGGGAAGGGGTGGAATGGGGGCAGGGCAGGGGCAGGGCATGGGGGAGGGAATTGTCCTGGGTCTCGCTCCTCCCTAGAGATGGCCCTAGTTGGGTCATTGCAGCTCCCCCATGCCGAGAAGGATCAGGCCAGGACAGCATGAAGACTGGAAACCTCCATGGAGTAATAAA